TCAATATATGCAAATCAATCAAAGTGATACACCATATTAACAAATTGAAGGAGAAAAACCATATGATCATCTCAACAGATGCAGAGAAAGCTTTCGACAAAATTCAACACCTATTTATGATAAAAACCCTGCAGAAAGTAGGCATAGAGGGAACTTTCCTCAACATAATAAAGGCCATATATGACAAACCCACAGCCAACATCGTCCTCAGTGGTGAAAAACTGAAAGCATTTCCACTAAGATCAGGAACAAGAAAAGTTTGCCCATGCTCACCACTCTTATTTAACATAGTTGTGGAAGTTTTAGCCACAGCAATCAGAGAAGAAAAAGAAATAAAAGGAATCCAAATCGGGAAAGAAGAAGTAAAGCTGTCACTGTTTGCAGATGACATGATACTACTATACATAGAGAATCCTAAAGATGCTACCAGAAAACTACTAGAGCTAATCAATGAATTTGGTAGAGTAGCAGGATACAAAATTAATGCACAGAAGTCTCTGGCATTCCTATACACTAATGATGAAAAATCTGAAAGTGAAATCAAGAAAACACTCCCATTTACCACTGCAACAAAAAGAATAAAATATTTAGGAATAAACCTACTGAAGGAGACAAAAGACCTGTATGCAGAAAATTATAAGACACTGCTGAAAGAAATTAAAGATGATACAAATAGATGGGGAGGTAGACCATGTTCTTGGATTGGAAGAATCAACGTTGTGAAAATGACTATACTATCCAAAGCAATCCACAGATTCAATGCAATCCCTATCAAACTAACACTGGCATTTTTCACCAAAATACAACAAAAAATTTCACAATTTGTATCGAAACACATAAGAACCCGAATAGCCAAAGCAATCTTTAGAACGAAAAACAGAGCTGGAGGAATCAGGCTCCCTGACTTCAGACTATACTACAAAGCTACAGTAATCAAGACAGCATGGTACTGGCAAAAAACCAGAAAGATAGATCTATGGAACATGATAGAAAGCCCAGAGATAAACCCACACACATATGGTCACCTTATCTTTGATCAAGGAGGCAGGAATGTACAGTGGAGAAAGGACAGCCTCTTCAATAAGTGGTGCTGGGAAAACTGGACAGGTACATGTAAAAGTATGAGATTAGAACACTCCCTAACCCCATACCCAAAAATAAGCTCAAAATGGATTAAAAACTTAAATATAAGGCCAGAAACTATCAAACTCTTAGAGGAAAACATAGGCAGAACACTCTGTGACATAAATCACAACAAGATCCTTTTTAACCCACTTCCTAGAGAAATGGAAATAAAAATAAACAAATGGGATCTAATGAAACCTCAAAGCTTTTGCACAGCAAAGGAAACCATAAACAAGACCAAAAGACAACCCTCAGAATGGGAGAAAATATTTGCAAATGAGGCAACTGACAAAGGATTAATCTCCAAAATTTACAAGCCGCTCATGCAGCTCAATAACAAAAAATACAAACAACCTAATCCAAAAATGGGCAGAAAACCTAAATAGACATTTCTCCAAAGATATACAGATTGCCAAAAAACACATGAAAGAATGCTCAATATCATTAATCATTAGAGAAATGCAAATCAAAACTACAATGAGATATCATCTCACACCAGTCAGAATGGCCATCATCAAAAAATCTAGAAACAATAAATGCTGGAGAGGGTGTGGAGAAAACGGAACACTCTTGCACTGCTGGTGGGAATGTGAATTGGTACAGCCACTATGGAGAACAGTATGGAGGTTCCTTAAAAAAACTACAAATAGAACTACCATATGACCCAGCAATCCCACTACTGAGCATATACCCTGAGAAAACCGTAATTCAAAAAGTGTCATGTACCAAAATGTTCATTGAAGCTCTATTTACAATAGCCAAGAGATGGAAACAACCTAAGTGTCCATCATCAGATGAATGGGTAAAGAAGATGTGGCACATATATACAATGGAATATTATTCAGCCATAAAAAGAAATGAAATTGAGTTATTTGTAGTGATTTGGATGGACCTAGAGTCTGTCATACAGAGTGAAGTAAGTCAGAAAGAGAAAGACAAATACCATATGCTAACACATATATATGGAATCTAAGAAAAAAGAAAAAATGTCATGAAGAACCTATGGGTAAGACGGGAATAAAGACACAGACCTACTAGAGAATGCCCTTGAGGATACAGGGAGGGGGTAGGGTAAGCTGTGACAAAGTGAGAGAGTGGCATGGACATATATACACTACCAAACGTAGAATAGATAGCTAGTGGGAAGCAGCCGCATAGCACAGGGAGATCAACTCGGTGCTTGTGACCACCTAGAGGATTGGGATAGGGAGGGTAGTAGGGAGGGAGAAGCAAGAGGGAAGAGATATGGGAACATATGTATATGTATAACTGATTCACTTTTTTATAAAGCAGAAACTAACAAACCATTGTAAAGCAATTATACTGCAATAATGATGTAAAAAAAAATCAATCAATATAATTCATCATGATAACAGACCAGGAAAAAAAAAAAAAAAAAAAAACACGTGAAGTCCTAGGTCACTCAATACTAAAGCCTGCAGGAAGCAGCCAGGAGAGCTGTGGATGTCAACAGGACAATGTGAGGGCAAATTTTGCCTCTTCTCTTAAGAACTTAAAAAGTCCACAAGAAGGAGGCAACTCATTGAATAGGGTGGCTGTGGACAAGTTACTTAACTTGGTTACCCTTTAGTTTCCTCCTCTCTAAAAGGAGGATAATAATAGAACCTACTTTGTGTCGTAAGAATTAAATGAGTTAATTCATCCAAAGCCCCTAATGTCAACTCTTATTTTAGGCCTGTTTTAACTGTTAATATTTGCTAAATTTCTCTTTGAGCTCAGGGACCCTATATTGAAAATCCTTTTTGGAATTTTAAAAGAAAATGTGTTAAGAGCAGAAGTTACAACTAGTGCTTGAAATTAATGAATTCTTTTAAAGACTCATTATTTGTGTTTCTATTTAGTCAGACCCACTTGTTTTTAGAGGGGTTTTAATTGAAATTTTAATTAAAATAGGAGTTCACTTGACTTATAAAATGGTGTTTATTATTCTCATCATAATGAGTACTTTCTATTTTTATTATTTAACTTGACTTTGAAGATTATCTTCAACAATAAATTCACATCAATTTTGTCTTACTAGGTATTAACAGGTGATATCTGTTGAGATGACTGTAAATGAGCTACTTTAAAATTGGTGTTGGAAAAAACAAACAAACAGCAACAGAAACTCTTTATCTTCTTATCTATATCATAAGCCAGAGGCAAAATTTAAGTTGCTGTTTGTGTAAGTGAATATGGAATACATAGGACCACAGATTATTAAAATTCATCAAAACAATTATCTAACAACTCTACTCTCTTTATTATTTCATGTTAATTTTAAATATACTTCTTTTAAAAAAAATTGATGGTTTTCAGCCCTTGTCATTTTTGGTTTTTTCTGACTAATAATTATGGATTTTTCTTATTGTTACCAAATATAAGAGGATCTGGTGGAACTGTTATGAACCAGTCTTTGTAGAAACTGGTTAAAAATGTACTCTCCCTTTTAGGTAAAAGCAGCCTTTATCTCTGCTGTTCTAGTATTGCCATTGTTTTCCTTGTAGGCAAATTCAGAATGCCTTCTTCTTTAATTCAAATTTCTTAGCCATAAAACTTCTTGAAATGCTAAATGCCCAACATTTCTAGAGAGGTCTGGCATCTGTACTCACCATGTCACACACTGTGTGACAGCTCACATGTGACAAGGACAGTTTTATCAGGAAAACACAACAGGTGTTTTGCTACATCTTGATACTAACAATGAAGAGATAAAACACATAATTTTTTATCAATGTTTGTAAATCAGATTTTGAATTGGATACCCTCATTTGAAATTGTCATAGGAAAACCTGGAAGTTATACACTGCTGTTTATGATATTTTATGTATTTTAGATTATTGTTCTGCACATTCTTTTAATATTTCCATCTGCCCTCTGTTATTATCTTCCCTGTATAAACAGTAAGCTCCTTTATTGTGGAGAATGGCTCTGTCTCCTCTTTCTTTTGCATAAACCCCATTATATCATGTACATTTTTTGAGACATAGCATATTAGCAATGGCCTTTTCAGCTCAGTTACTCTCTATGTTACATTATCAAGATTTTCTAAAATAAGATTTTAAATTATATATGAAACTTCAAGATAACTGTTGCCTCTAAACTTCAGGAGAGAGATTTGAAGTTCCACAAAGTACTATAAAGTAATTACAAACTTCAATCCCCTAGCAGTTGTATTCTACATGGAAAGGTCTTAATTGGCATTCTGATTGGCATGGTTTGTAAGTACTGAATTTACTGTATATACTTAGTGAAGTGAAGGATGCCCTTAGTGGCTGAAGCTGCTGCCACAAATCCTGTCTGTTTCCAAACCCTGGCACCTAAATTACATTTACACTTAAGCCACAGAGATGAAATACACACATTAGCACAGATGATCTTGCATCATAACATGCTAGGACCATAAGGAATTGTAGCGAATTATGCTGTCCTTATCCTCATTCTGGCTGGGAGGAAACTGAGGTCCAAGTTCATGTGGAATAGACAGCTTGGCAGAGGCTCTCAACTTTTCCTCCAATACCAGCTTGCCTGCACCCTGCCAGGATGTTGTATATGGAATATAATGTCATATTTTACTCCATAAAATCTTAGTAGGCAGAGATGAAAAATGCACACCAGGCTTTCCTTTGTACTTCTTGAAATTATGGATGGATTGAAAGCCAGAACTTGTGTTGCTTTGTTATTTAACATATGAATATGGGAGTGGGGAGACATGTACTGCAAGCATATAATGACTGAAAATGTTCTAAATTATGGTAGTTAAGGAAAATAAACAAAAATACTCTTTTGTCAACATTAAATGACACTTTTCTTAATAGAGCTAAATATTGTCAGCACAATTAAAATTTGCCTATTTTGATTTTTTTTTTTCCCAGCTACATGTGGTCATTTGAAAAAGCACACCTCAGCATGGTTCAGATAATCACAGGACAACTTGTTGAGTCCTTTGATGAAGAATTTAGGACTCTCTATGCCAGGTCCTCTGTCCCCAGCTCATTTGCATGGGAAGAGTCAGCAAGGGTGAAGCACAGCAAAGCACTCTGGGAGAATGGCATTTACCAGCATTCAGTGTCTTCCTTAGCTTCCATTTCCAGCCAAAGAAACCTTTTTGGTACACAAGACAAAATTCATAAACTAGATTCTAGCTACTTCAAAAACAGAGGGATATATACTCTCAATGAACGTGACAGATATAACATAAGAAATCATGCATACAGACCTCATTTTGTTTCCAACTTTAATGATCCAATCCGTCAGCATCAACACAGTCAGATAAATGAAAATTGGAAGAGGCATAGTTATGCTGGGGAACAGCCAGAAACAGCACCATACCTGCTGCTTCACAGGGCTCTGAATCGAACCGTTAATGCTCCCTATAATTGGAAAAGGCCTTCAGATAGTCTCAGTGTGGCATCCTCATCACAGGGAGGCTATGCAGGCCACCAGAACACACCTGCCCAGAGTTTTGCTGACCGACTTGCCCAGAGGAAGACAACAAACCTTCCAGAAAGGAATTCCAACGTGCGGAAGTCTTTTAACGGGACAGATAATCATGTTCGCTTTTTGCAACAACACATGCCAAACCTTGAACATACCACCAAGTCATTCTTGCGTAACTGGAGAATTGAATCCTACTTAAATGATCATTCAGAAGCTTCTTGTGATTCCAGTGGATCGGTTCTAGGTGACCGGTTTGAGGGCTACGACGGTCCTGAGAATTTGAAAGCCAATACCGTTTATACTCACTCTCGGCTTCGTTCTTCTTTTGTGTTTAAACCCACTTTACCTGAGCAACAGGAAGTTAACAGTTGTACAACTGATTCCTCAAATTCAACAGTCATTGGTTCCCAGGGAAATGACACTCCTAAAAAGATCCCAGACACCCCAACAGGCGCACAGCATCCGACAGACAAACCCTCACAGGAATCAACCCCCAAGCTCCCGTTGCAGTCAGAGGCACCAAAAACGCACACCCTACAGGTTCCCGAAAGGAACCTGGCAGTTTTAATCCCAACTACAAATGGCCCTACGGACTCAAACAAACATTTATGTACAACCTTGTCTGTAAATAAGCAGACAGAAAACCTAAAGAATCAAGAAAATGAGAATCTGCTTAAAAGGCGAAGTTTCCCATTCACTGACCACTCAAAAGCCAATTTAAATCATGGAAATAGTAAGCATTATGTGTATAGTACACTTACCAGGAATCGAATTAGACAACCAGAAAAAACTAAAGAGGATTTGTTAAAAAGTTCTAGAAGTGTTCATAATGTGACCCATGCCATGGAAGAGGATGAGGAAGAGGTTACCAAGAGAGACCCTCCAAGTGGCACTGCTATCAGATCAATTTCCATTGCTGCTTTGCTTGATGAGAATAAAGAAGAACCCAACAAAGAACTCACTTCCAAGAAAGAAGTGAAGGGTTCCCCAAGTTTTTTGAAAAAGGGCTCTCTGAAGTTAAGGTCATTACTTAGCCTTACCCCAGAAAAGAAAGAAAATCTATCCAAAAATAAAGCACCTGCCTTTTATAGAATGTGTAGTAGTTCTGACACTTTAGTTTCTGAGGCTGAAGAGAATCAAAAACAAAAAAAATCAGAACCCAAAATTGATTCATCTCCTAGAAGAAAACATTCTTCTTCATCCAGCTCTCCAGGCAGCATCCACAAGGGTAAGGAAGATGTAGCAGTTCGTTCATCTCAGGGGATACATTCTTCATCTGATGAAAGTAACAAAACTATACCTTCTTCAGGTCCAGTTGAAAGCAAGTTCTTGGAAAAAGCAGGAGATGCCTCTGCCCCGAGATTCAACACTGAGCAGATCCAGTACCGAGATTCGAAGGAGATTAAAGCAATTGTTGTTCCTGAAAGAAAACCAGCTTCTTCTCCAAGACCAAAGCCCAATGATGAGCTTATAAGAACTCATTCAATTGACCGGCGTGTTTACAGTCGTTTTGAGCCATTTTGTAGTATTGAAAGCTCTATTCAGCCAACAAGCAACATGCCAAATACCAGTACACACGACCCAGAAATGAAATCCTCAACTATGGGCAATAGTTATGGCAGGTCCAGCCCAATGCTTAATTACAACACTGGTGTTTACCACTCATATCAGCCAAATGAAAACAAGTTTCGAGGACTTATACAGAAGTTTGGAAACTTCATAAACAAAAATAAATGAAATACTGTAACTACAAATAGACTTTAAAATACAAAATAAATATGGCTATAAATATTTGTCCAAAGAACATTGTAGATTTTTTTTTGTAATATCCTAATAGATTTCTATGGGGGTGGAATTTTGGGTGTGAAGTATATGTTTACCAACTTACTAATGTATAGTAAAGTTATTGTTCTGTGTGATAAATTTAGTTGTGCTTAATTACACTATAGATGGAATGTCCATAAATACATGATTTTTAAATGGTAATAGTAAGACAAATGTAATGAAATTGTTTTCTTCAGACTGAAGATCTTCTTAAGTCTTAAATGGAAACTTTGGTGGAGAGATGGTATATGGATTTTAACCATTCATTGCAAATGCTTTCCTTATTAAAATGGATCATGGATCATAACGCTGTCAATGGTCCTTTATAGTACATCTTTGTGGGGTTTTCATAACTTCAAATTATGAGAAAATAGGACAAAGCCTTTGTGGTTTTTAATTACCTTTAAATTCTATGAGATAACTTGTATTTTATTAATGTTTTATTAACTTTTCTGTGGAACTGGTTGGGCAACAACAGTACAATTTAAACCATATAGCACAGCACATTTTTTATTTTATCTGAGGTGTTTGCAAAGTATCAACCTCAGGTAGTTCAAGTACACCATAGAAATTTATTTTCAGGATGTGCTTATTTCCACTCTGGACAAAGGGAGCCTGTACTGCACTCCACCCATCAGCTGCTGAACTTTTATTGTCATTCTTTCCTTCAAACTTATAGCAAGCCAACAGGAATTTGGAAAACCTGAATTATTCCTCTCTTTTTTCTAATACAAAGAAGGTTTTAGAAATGTAAACTTCTACATAAATTTTTATCTTGGATTAGTACGACAGTGCTTAGGTGTTTTGCTTGCAAAAGTCTTTGTTCTTTTCTATACTGTGCCAAATACACTCTGACTGCATAGTATTTTCTTGAGAGAACCCTGATGAAAATGAGGAGAAGTGCTATCTGGCTTGTTTCTTCCATGACCTTGGGGCCTCATTGAAAGTTTTAAATCTTTCTATATCTTAATTTGATGATGATATGCAGTTCATAAGATACACTTTGCCTTTCTTAGAGTAATGAAATAAAAGCTCTATATCCATTACAGAGACTTTAACTTGGCTTTATTTCATCCACAAAGAACAGAATTCAAGAAACAATGCATCATTTGAGAAGTGGAAAGTGTTTCTATGAAACTTTTTTTTTTTCGTTGCCCGACCCGGGATTGAGCCCATGCCCCCTGCAGCGGAGTCTTAACCACTGGACCACCAAGGAAATCCCCTATGACACTTTAAATATATGGTTTAACACCTTCTAAGTTGCTATATGAGGCAGCATGTTGTTTTCAAAATTCAAGATTCAGTCAAATATTAATATCTACGTCAATACTAAGTAATTAAAATAACGATATTGAAATATCTATGTCATTAAAAAAAATTTCCACAGTATTTTAAAACCATGATAAGAAACATGTCAGGAAAATACATGACAGCAGCAGAAGAAAACCTAACATTCATAGACCAGGTCCTCAGCTAGAATCTAAAGTCCCCGCGGCACTATTTTGCAGCTACCATTGTCCTCATTATTTACAGGTGATAATTGCGACACTGAGACTCAGAGAAGTAATGCCCCAAACCACATCACCAGTGAGTCATGGTACTAAAGTGTCTATAACATTATCACATCCTATTACCTCCCCAATGTGTTCAACACCTGCCTCACCCAAACTGTTGAGAATTAAATGAGAGAACGTTTATATTTCCTGACTCAACAACGATCAGCTAGCAAAGGTTTCGTTGTCTTTCTCTTTTGCTCTCTTTAAGAGTTGCAGAAATATATATCTAACTGTACAACAATAGCATTTTATATACACAAATCCAGAATATGGTACTCAATGTCACATCATTCATAAAAGTAGATTTTAAAACTCCTGCTATAACATAGGGAATTTCCAAGTACTACGATGTGGGAGTTGCTTGTTTTGGAAAGCTGAGTGTAAAAGATTGGAAAATTTGCACACTTCCTAATAATTTAACAGCATAAATGTAAACATTAAGAGTGAACAGTCATTTTTCACAGGAAAAGTAGCCAAGTATATTTACAAAAAAAAAATGTATTTTTTAAGAAAATGGCCTTTGGAATGTGTAGTTCCTTATAATCAAATAAGGAATTCAGTCACAATAAGAAAAGTGTTTCTAACTGTTAGCGTTTTAAATTTTAGAGTCATCTGGCAATTGTATGATCTTCACAGATTAGTATCAGATTATTAAAAAGCATTAGAATTGAGGTTTAATGTGTGACAGAGGTTTTTCATTTTGCTCTTAGAAAAATTCACTTCTGTGATTCTGGACCATAGTCATTTACTGATTTATCAAAGGAGAATCTGGAGTTAACCAAACCAGATTGATTTTAATATTACCCATTCTTTGTTATAGTGAGATAGGGCATCTTTCAGAGTGAAGGGGCTAATGGGCTGTCGTTAGGCAGCTCTGAAATTGGAAGTCCTGAAATTTACAGCAATGCAACTGAAACTGCACAAAGCTGAAATTACATAAAGACTATAGAGTTTTAATCAGTTTAATTATATGCAAAAGCCTGTTGCCTTTTTGTACAGCAGCTGCCATCATTTCTGGAAACACAGAGAGCTTTTAAGTAGTTCCTAAGTTCCTCCTCTCCCTGGTAGGGTTGGAAGCCCAGGGTTTCATTCCATCCACCTGTGACGGGTAGCTTGGGCTTTTTCATGGCAGATATATTCCCCTCTGCCTCTTTTCTTATTATCATTCTATTTTTTTCCTCCAGAAATATCTATATGTCAGCATCTATACACAGTAACTTTCCAAAGTTTCTGAGGCTGAGAAGCTCCACAGGGTTAAGACTGAGCAAGCATACAATGCTTCAGATAATTTACTCAGGGTTTTGAATTTTCAACAGACACACCCAAGCTTCATGGAGGTAATCATTTCAAGCAATATATTTTCTTTTTCTCCCCATATTAATTTTGGTGGAAAGATAATGTCACTTAGATGCAATTTTATATTAAAGTTTGGTGAGGCAATTTTTACTCTCTACATAGGACATTAGTTTGTAAGCAGAAACTCAGAAAATTAGGTACGATTTCAAAGTAGCTATTGACAGTTTCAGAATAGTTTAAGTGCCTGTATCCTGAACACACTGCTATCCCTCTGCTTCAGGGATTGGGATTGGCCACAATTCTGACGCAATGTGTTGAGGTCTGGGTATATGGTGGCCATCTACATTTGTGGAAACAAATATCTTATTTAATCTAGATGACATCTAGTGTAACCCAGATAAGGTTGAACTATGGCTGCACTCAACTATAACTTTACTCAAGATTTTCCAATTATTCAACTACTATCCCACAGATATTTGTCTTTTGTGGATATCTGTTGATTCTTAATGTGCCTATGGCTAAGAAGTATAAATTAGAATCATTGTTTTACATAATGTGTGACCTATGTGTGATGCTGTTTTTTTTTAAAAAAAAGTTTATCATAAGATTCATTTGGTTCTAGAATATTTAAAAAGAAAAAGATGAAATTATAAACCAGAGAGTCAACTTTTTATATATGTGCAATGTTAGCAAATATTCTTCCAAATTAACTTTTGTTATTAGATTTAATAAGTGAATATTAAATAATTTTGTACAAAATCTATGCATCAAGTTGTTTATTTTTTATCTTCAAACCCTGGATTTTGCCACTGACACTGATGTTTTTCACTTAGTTATTATGTAATGAATTTAGATTTTTACACATTTTAAAATATTTCTCCATAAATTTTGAAATAATCTCTTAAATGCTTAATTTTTTTTTTGAATTAACCGTTTCATTTAATAATTTATCCACATTTGATATCCAGTGACAGTATTCTTCCCTTAACAGTATCACATACACTCATTCTCTTTCTATTTCTACTGGAATATAGTAGTTATTTTAAATAACTTGTGACTTTGAAAAATAGAGACTATTTTGTTAAAATATTGATAGCTGATTTTTGTAGAATTTTGTAGCATTTAGTTTGAGTAAGATATTCTGAATGTGCATTTGTATTACATCAGTTAGTGACATTATACAACCTGGAATCTGAAAGTTACTTATAACTCAAAATGCATTTTCCTTAGGGGAAAAAAATGTCCCTTATATCACAGATTAAGATGCCATTGAATTAAATAGTGACCTTTCAAAGGCAAATGTGATTTTTAAGTAGGTAACAAAAATTTTAAATAGTTAAGTAAAAACAAACTTTGACTTTTTTTACATTCACCATAAATGTCGATGTTTAAGAAAATTCTGGTTCAATGGGATAGTATGGGACATAGATGAGGTTTTACTTTTATGGCCATCCTAAAGGAAACTTATGAATAGGCTCAATTAACTTAAGGAGTCATAGACCATCCTGAGGTAATTGAACTAGAAAAAAATAGAACGGCCTTAAAAGACGTAAGTTTGTATCCTGATTGAGGAAAAGAATTACCTGAGGTAGGATTACCTGAGCTGAAAGCATTAAAAACAGAAAAAAGAAATATACAGAGGAATACTCTTGAGTTAACAAAGAAAAGTATAACACGTCTGATTGGACATTTCTCCCATAACTGTTTCAATAATCTAGCTCATTTATTTATTCACCACTCATACTGGGAACCTACTTTGTTCAAGGTGTGCAGGTTACAGTAGACTTTTTTATTTTTTTTTTTTGAGATACGCGGGCCTCTCACTGTTGTGGCCTCTCCCGTTGCAGAGCACAGGCTCCAGATGTGCAGGCTCAGCGGCCATGGCTCACGGGCCCAGCCGCTACGCGGCATGTGGGATCCTCCTGAACCGGGGCACGAACCCGCGTCCCCTGAATCGACAGGCGTACTCACAATCACTGCGCCACCAGGGAAGCCCTGCAGTAGAATTTTTTTTTTTTTTGGTAGTGTATATAAGTCCATGCCGCTCTCTCACTTTGTCACAGCTTACCCTTCCCCCTCCCCATATACTCAAGTACATTCTTTAGTAGGTCTGTGTCTTTATTCCTGTATTACCTCTAGGTTCTTCATGACATTTTTTTTTCCCTTAGATTCCATATATATATGTTAGCATACGGTATGTGTCTTTCTCTTTCTGACTTACTTCACTCTGTATGACAGACTCTAGGTCCATCCACCTCACTACAAATAGCTCAACTTTGTTTCTTTTTATGGATGAGTAATATTCCATTGTATATATGTGCTACATCTTTATCCATTCATCCAATGATGGACACTTAGGTTGTTTCCATCTCCTGGCTATTGTAAATAGAGCTGCAATGAACATTTTGGTACATGACTCTTTTTGAATTATGGTTTTCTCAGGGTATATGCCCAGTAGGGGGACTGCTGGGTCACATGGTAGTTCTATTTGTAGTTTTTTGTTTTTTGTTTTTTTACATCTTTATTGGATTATAATGGCTTTACAATCGTGTGTTAGTTTCTGCTTTATAACAAAGTGAATTAGTTATACATATACATATGTTCCCATATCTCTTCCCTCTTGCATCTCACTCCCTCCCACCCTCCCTATCCCACCCTTCTAGGGAGTGACAAAGCACCGAGCTGATCTCCCTATGCTATGCGGCTGCTTCCCACTAGCTATCTACCTTACATTTGGTAGTGTATATATGTCCATGCCTATCTCTCACTTTGTCAGAGCTTACCCTTCCCCTCCCCATATCCTCAAGTCCATTCTCTAGTAGGTCTGTGTCTTTATTCCTGTATTACCCCTAGGTTCTTCATGACATTTTTTTCCTTAAATTCCAAATATATGTGTTAGCATATGGTATTTGTCTTTCTCTTTCTGACTTACTTCATTCTGTATGACAGACTCTAGGTCTATCCACCTCATTACAAATAGCTCAATTTTGTTTCTTTTTATGGCAGAGTTTCCATCTCTGGGCTATTGTAAATAGAGCTTCAATGAATATTTTGGTACATGACTCTTTTTGAATTATGGTTTTCTCAGGGTATATGCTCAGTAGTGGGATTGCTGGGTCATGTAATAGTTCTATTTGTAGTTTTTTAAGGAAACTCCATACTGTTCTCCATAGTGGCTGTACCAATTCACATTCTCACCAGCAGTGCAAGAGTGTTCCCTTTTCTCCACACCCTCTCCAGCATTTATTGTTTCTAGATTTTTTGATGATGGCCATTCTGACTGGTGTGAGATGATATCTCATTGTAGTTTTGATTTGCATTCCTCTAATGATTAATGATGTTGAGCATTCTTTCATGTGTTTGTTGACAATCTGTATATCTTCTTTGGAGAAATGTCTACTTAGGTCTTCTGCCCATTTTTGGATTGGGTTGTTTGTTTTTTTGTTATTCAGCTGCATGAGGCGCTTGTAAATTTTGGAGATTAATCTTTGTCAGTTGCCTCATTTGCAAATATTTTCTCCCATTCTGAAGGTTGTCTTTTGGTCTTGTTTATGGTTTCCTTTGCTGTGCAAAAGCTTTGAAGTTTAATTAGGTCCCATTTGTTTATTTTTGTTTTTATTTCATTTCTCTAGGAGGTGGGTCAAAAAGGATCTTGCTGTGATTTATGTCACAGAGTGTTCTGCCTATGTTTTCCTCTAAGAGTTTGATAGTTTCTGGCCTTACATTTAGGTCTTTAATTTATTTTGAGCTTATTTTTCTGTATGGTGTTAGGGACTGTTCTAATCTCATACTTTTACATGTACCTGTCCAATTTTCCCAACACCAGTTATTGAAGAGGCTGTCCTTTCTCCACTGTATATTCCTGCCTCCTTTATCAAAGATAAGGTGCCCATATGTGTGTGGTTTATCTCTGTGCATTCTATCTTGTACCATTGATCTATATTTCTGTTCTTGTAAAAGTACCATACTGTCTTGATTCCTGTAGCTTTGTAGTATAGTCTGAAGTCAGGGTCCTGATTCCTCCAGCTCCATTTGTCATTCTCAAGATTGCTTTGGCTATTTGGGGTCTTTTGTGTTTTGATACAAATTGTGAATATTTTTGTTGTATTTCTGTGAAAAATGCTAGTGGTAGTTTGATAGGGATTGCATTGAATCTGTGGATTGCTTTGGATAGTATAGTCATTTTCACAGTGTTGATTCTTCCAATCCAAGAACATGGTATATCTCTCCATCTGTTTGTATCACCTTTAATTTCTTTCATCTTTGTCTTAAAATTTTCTGCATACAGGTCTTTTGTCTCCTTAGATAGGTTTATTCCTAGATATCTTATTCTTTTTGTTGCAATGGTAAATGGGAGTGTTTTCTTGATTTCACTTTCAGATTTTTCATCATTAGTGTCTAGGAATACCAGACTTCTGTGCATTAATTTTGTATCCTGCTACTCTACCAAATTCATTGATTAGCTCTAGTAGTTTTCTGGTAGCATCTTTAGGATTCTCTATGTATTGTATCATATCATCTGTGAACAGTGAAAGCTTTACTTCTTCTTTTCCAATTTTGATTCCTTTTATTTCCTTTTCTTCTCTGATTGCTGTGGTTAAAACTTCCAAAACTATATTGAATAAGAGTAGTGAGAGTGGGCAACCTTGTCTTCTTCCTGATCTTAGTGGAAATGGTTTCAGATTTTCACCATTGAGGATGGTGTTGGCTGTTGGTTTGTCATATATGGCCTTTATTATGTTGAGGAAAGTTCCCTCTATGCCTACTTTCTGCAGGGTTTTTATCATAAATGGGTGTGAATTTTGTTGAAAGCTTTCTCTGCATCTATTGAGATGACCATATTTTTTTTCCTTCAATTTGTTAATATGGTGTATCACGTTGATTGATTTCCCTATATGGAAGAATCCTTGCATTCCTGGAATAAACCCCACTTGATCATGTTGTATCATCTTTTTAATGTGCTCTTTGATTCTGTTTGCTAGTATTTTGTTGAGGATTTTTGCATCTATGTTCATCAGTGATATTGGCCTGTAGTTTTCTTTCTTTGTGACATCCTTGTCTGGTTTTTTATCAGGGTGATGGTGTCCTCGTAGAATGGGTTTGCGAGTGTTCCTCCCTCTGCTATATTTTGGAAGAGTTTGAGAAGGATAGGTGTTAGCTCTTCTCTAAATGTTTGATAGAATTCACTTTTGAAGCCATCTGGTCCTGAGCTTTTGTTTGTTGGAAGATTTTTAATCACAGTTACAATTTCAGTGCTTGTGATTGGT